AGGGTTCCTTGAAAGGGATCTATAGGGGATCTAATAGGGTAACTATACTAAGGGTTCTATACGGGTAGTTCTCTAAACTAGTAGGGTCCCGTCTTTGTTTTCAGGGTGCCGTACTATCTTGGAGACTTGAAGAGGGACCCTAGTTTAGATACCAACCCACCTAGCCCTCGCTTGCCCTGTAAACCCTAAACCTTAACCCAAAACCCTGAACCCTCAACCCTAAACCCTAAACCCTGAACCCTAAACCCTAAACCCTTAAATCCTAAACCCTTCTTGTGTTTCTGTCGGGGGGTCTTGGTAGTCTGTGCCCTCGTGGTTTTCCTTTGGGCCAGAAGCACTGACCCTGAGCCCCTCAAGCCTCAACCCCCTAAATCCTCAACCTTAAAGCCTAGAACTTTATAAGCCCTAAGCCCCAAACCCTAAACGCCCTAAACCCCAAAGCCTAAGCCCTAAACCCTAAAAACCCCTAAGCCTTAAACCCCAAAAAACCCTAAATCCCTAAACCCGAAACCCCAAAAGCCCCTAAATCCCGAAGCCCCAAGCCCCCATAGCCCGAATCCCAAGATTCTAAACCTCCAAGCTCCGAAACCCTAAACCCTCAACTCTAGCACTCTAAACCTTTTTGGGGGTTTAGGGTTTCGGGTTTGGGGTTTAGGGTGGGGTTTTTGGCGTTTAGGGTTTAACCATAGGCCCTGAACCCTAAGCCCTGAAGCCCCAAAGCCGCCAGCAGGCCCATGATCTGTGCCAATCCAGATCTCAGAGCAGAGCCCTTAGGAGCCGGTCCTTTAAAGGGATCTAGAAGGGTTCTATAAGGGATTTATAAGGGTTCTATCAGGGTTCTATAAGGGTTCTATGAGGGATCTATAAGGGCTTGGGATTTACGGTTTTATGGGTTTGGGGTTCAGGGTTAGGGGGTTTGGGTTTAGGGCTTAGGGCTCAAGGGTTTTTTGGTTCAGGGGTTTGGGGTTTAGGGTTCCGGGGTTTAGGGCTCAGGGTTCAGGGTTTAGGGGCTGGGCTCTACGGTTTAAGGGGTTTCATGGTATAGGGCCTCCGTAGTTTCATGGGTAAGCTTTCAAGGCGATATTGATAGGCTTTAGGAGGGTTTCGACAGATGTTTTGTGCGGTGCGGTTCAGGGTTTCTGGTTTAGGGTTTGGGTTTGAAGCCGTGATTGCCGAAGACTCCTCAACTTTCGGAGGGATGCTCCAAGCAAGGTTCCAAACAAGGGAGCCCCGCACCCTAAACCCTAAACCCTAAACCCCTTGGCCCTAAAGACCCCATTCTTTTCGGGGTCCTAACACCCTCCTCGTTGGAGTCTCCGCTCATTTGAAGTAGGGTTTGACCTGAGGCGTGGCCGGCTGCTTTCGAGCGGGATCCCACAGACAGCCGCGCTCTCTTCCTGACTGGGGACCCCGGCACCGGCAAGTCTACCGTGGCCTTGGCTGCAGCGCCACTGGCCCAGCGCTTGGGCCTCTCCGTCGCGATGGCCTTCCCAGCAGCTCGTCTCAGCAGCGAGTTCAAGCAGTGCCTGCCTGACGTCGCCATTGATACGGTGCACTCCATGTTCTCGGTTCCAGCCTTCCGTGGTGCAGGTGGCCCAGACACCTGGACGGTGAATCAGAAATCGCGGACTTCGATCTGGTCATTGTGGACGAGATAGGCTTCCTGTCCAACGAGATCTTCGAGCACATTCTGAAGACTTGGCTGGAAGCTCACCTCTGGCCCGTTCTCCTTCTCCTCGGCGACTTCGACCAGATGCCGCCTGTGAAGAGCCGAGGCATCGAGCGGAGGGATCCGCTAGGTGCGTGGCGTCGCCACGTGCGCACCACCCGCTTGAAGGTTAACCACCGAACGGAGGACTCCGAGCTGATGGACTTCCTGCGGGTTTGTCGCCAGATGCGCCCGGACCAAAGCGTCCTCGATCGGTTCGTGACACCTCGCTGCTTAGGCCTTGCTCCGACGCAAGACATGGTACAGGCTTGCCTGGAGCAACATGGCGAAGAGAACTTGACCTTCTTGGCAATGACGAATGACGGTACCGCCAAGCTAAATGACATGGCCTTCTCGGTTCTGCGACGATAGCACCGTTGCCTGCTCTCGGTGCCAATGTTCCGGGCGGAGGGCAACCGACCCCGAACGAAGATGCTGGACCTCTTCGTTGGAGCCCGCGTCATGGTCACCTTGAATAGAGACGAAAGCACAGGCATGGTTAATGGAGCTGTTGCCATCGTCCTGGAGGCCGACGAGAAGCTGGTCCTGCTGCGATTATCCTCCGGCGCTGTGGTGCCTCTCTCTTTGTGCCGTCGTCGACTGCGGGGCAGCGGCTTGCATGCAGGCTTCCCGCTGGTCGGTGGATACGCTTTGACGGTTCACAAAGCACAAGGCCTAACCTTGGGCCGAGTCGTCATCTACTTCGAGAGTCACTATGAAATTCCCGGCATGGGCTATGTGGCGATGAGCCGTGTCAAAGAAGCCGATCACGTCCGCTTCATCGGTGAGATGACTTCCAGATGTTTCACGCCAGCTTGCTCCGCTTCTGAGAAGAGGTAGCAGGTTCGAGGCGCTGCGAGTCCTCGTTGTCATGTAAAAAACATTGCATGAAGCAGAACGCCCACGGCACCGCAGTCCACCACGTGAAACGCAAGGGACGTGTGTTACCACCCAGAGCCTCAAGAGTCCAGGAGGAAGCAAAAAGGCCTTGAGCGAGTGTGGGGTAGGGTGGGATGGAATGCAAGCAAGACCTTCACATGCGTTGCGAAGCGCAGACACGAAGCCAGCTCGATTGACGTCTACACACCAACCATCGCAGAGCACGTGAGACATGTCCGGAAGCATATAGACCGTCTTATAACCACACACACACACAGACACAGACACACACACACACACATACACACACACACACACAAACACGTAGACATACAAAAAACAATACACCTACAAAGTCTCGCACTGCCAAACAGCAACACAAACACATACACGCTCAAATGCACAAACTAAGACACAGACACAGACAGACGGACGCGTGCAACAACACGCTCGCCGCAAGTGCTACGTCTACAGACTCAGACCCTCAGACACATACACACACACACACA